AAAACAGCAATTGAGCAGTCCTAATAGGCAGCCTGGCCCAAGCCGTGGGCAGGGTTCCTGTCCCTATGCAGTAACTGTGTCCAATACAGACCTACTAGCCATCCCTGGACTTCTGGGGTGCACTGCCACTGCATCAGAGAGGTGCCAGGTTTGTGGCAAGGGTTCACTGACAGTCAAATGTCAGGTCCATCATCGAAGGGTATGCGTGGCTAGTGTCCGTGGATTATATCTTGGGCTGCTGTTTGGTTGTGGGCAACATGGAGATTGTTAGGAGACAGTGACGAGCTGAATCCATCAGGTATTCAGTCTGGTTTCCATGTTGGTTTTTCCTGACAGTTTGTTTGGTGAGACTGGAAGCAGAACACTAATGCGGTGATTTTCAGTGTCGACAAGGAGTTAAGCATTAATCACAGTCAATCAGCAACTCGCTGATGCCTGATGAGAGTCTTATGACAAGGTAAAGCAAGATGATCTAGATTTTGAGATTGGCTTTGCCATATTTGTCCGGTTCTGCCACACTTCTCATATCCCGCACTGCTCACACCGTTATAAGATGTTGCCATAGATACTTTTGGTGAAGTTCCACAAACTTTTGACAATTACTTTATTCTGAGAACAAATAAAATCCTTGGGGAGAACAGGAGTTAATCAACAAATCCAGCATCCAAGGGAACCTATACACAATTTAATTAATGGTCTCTACAGATTCATAGAAAAATATGACTGTGGAGCATTAAAGGCAGAATTTGTATTAGACAGAATTGTTGTTGGAATTAATTATGGACTTTTCTCAGATTTACTACAGTCCAAGGAAGACTTGACTTTGAGGAAAGCCATTCTAATGATGTTGGAAGCAAAAATCAGAAAAATACTACAGAGGAAAACTCTGAGAGAACTCAGGGCGGCACAGCGGGTCAGTGGTTAGCACTGATGCCTTACAGCTCCAGGAACCCGGTTTGATTCCACCCTTGGGCTAAAATCTGTGTGGAGTTTGCACATTCTCCCCGTGTCTGCATGGGTTTCGTCAAGGTGCTCCAATTTCCTCCAACAATCCAAAGATGTGCAGGGTAGATGGATTAGCCATGGGAAATGCAGGGTTACAGGGCTAGGGTAGGCGGTTGGGTCTGGGTAGGATAGTCTTTGGAGGGTTGGTGTGGACTTGATGGGCCAAATGGCCTGGTTCCACACTGTAGAGATTCTATGATTTCTATGAAAATAAACCCTATTGCAGGAAATCTGCAAAAACCATTCAGTTTATAAAGTTAAACACCTTAAAACACATGCAACAAGTCAACGTAAAGAGTGGGCCAGACAGCAGATGCTAACAGTCACTGTCAGTGCTGAGGAACAAGAAAATTTCACAGACACAAGCAGTACCTGGTTATTAAAACAAAAATGCTATTTCTGTAAAACATCTGAAGATGTCATTATCAGAAGATGTGCAGAAGTAGAACAGTTACAAGGATGCTGCAGGTCAAATAGCTACACATATATAGATGTTAATGAGGTAGAGCAAGCTGCAAAATAAGTGATATCCAATGTGCTTGTAAGAAAAATTCATTTTGACAAGGAAGATTTATGTCTTCGGCCATTTAATTAATTTTTGGCTCTTGAGACTGGCACAAATGTTGATATATTAACAGATCATTTCTCATAGATTAAGGACCACAGGTTACAGGCTATAATAATGAAACTGTATTGTCCAGGAGATATAGATATCAAGATTAAAGGTATCCTACAAGAAACACTGCAATAGAAGGGATGCCAGAGATTAGAAAATGCATAAGTACTTCACAATCAAGAGTGCTCATTCTTTTGCATGAATACCTGTCTTGACTTCAACCTTATTCAAATGATGGAAGGAATTCAACTTGTTACAATCAACAATGAACGAACCAAAAGACAGTCATGCATGATCTGTTCAAAGAGATGCCAGGCAAGCAGCAACTACTCAAGGAACAGTTAAGTCAAGAAAATATTAGTCATTGAACAAAGAGTCATTGAACAACCCGAAAAGAGAAAACCCACAGAGGATTTTGTTGATCTTTCTAAACTTAGAAGAAGAAGACAGAAGGTTTTGAGACATAATAGAATTGTTTAATATGGACAGTAGGATGAAAATCTGTGATCACAGAGGATTGACAAAAATGTTTTCCACACCTCTCAATACTGAAAGATGTCCAGATGGCAAAAAAGCACTAAAGATGAGGAAGATAATAAGCAGTATGATCCATTGAGCTCATTGATGAACCTTTAATTGAAATTGTTCAGATGCAGCGCAGCCTGGCAAAAAACGTTATGGCAGATTTGAATTTGATGTCAGATGATGAGACGACACCAGGTCATTACAAACATTTCAATTCTTCAGTTTCCAAAGAAGAACGATCAATCCCAGCAACAGAGATCATGCCAAGTAAGCAGCAATCCTCAAGAAGCATGACTAAGGAAGTGAACCTGACAGGTTCACCAGCAAAGATATGAATACAAATACTTAACCCAATGACAAAGTTGATGCACAGAATTTTCATTCTTTAGCACAGATTGGCCAGCAGGGTGAAAATAAAGATTTAGTTGCACAAATTGAAGATAGGTTGCATAAGACTTCAGGAAAAGTCTACAGATTCAGGATAAAGGTAAGAAGAAACTATGTGGCATGGGGATTCAGGAGATTACCAAGAAGAAATTTTCCGGCTCAGAAATCCAAGAAGTTGTAAAAAAAAAATATCTGTTTCATCAGGGCATCCATCTTCCATAACATAAATCCAGTAGTTTAAAGGTCTCCAGATGATATAATGGGGCAGTTACATGTATCAGCATGAGAGACTGCCCGTATAAAGGAAATTCAGTAGATTAAAAATCTTTCAGATGAGATAATAGAACAATTGCTAAGTTCAAAGGAATAATATCCTCTGCAAAAGACACCCAAGAGATAAAAGGTCCTCCTGTGTAGAGAGACCTCATGAACCTCATTAGATCAAGAAGTGAATCAAGGTCAAAAGCCTTCTAGCCAAAGACTTGTCAATCTTCCAAGTCTGAAGAGAATATGGTCTAGAGGAATAGTGAAGGTTCCAGACAGCCTGAAATTGTGAAATCAGGGACTTGAGGAAAATGGGCTAGTGGTAAATATAATTATATGCATGAATGATAAAAGTTAATTGTGGGGGAAAAATGCGTGGTGGGAGATGTTCTGTAAAGGTAATAGTTCTGAAAGAGTAATACTAAAAACTGTATTAAGCTGATGATATCTGAAATTCAGAAAGGCTGAACTTCTATGGATCTTGAGGAAGACAGATCTACTGACGAGGTTTCTTCATGGTCATTGTAACAATGTCTATCTTACTAATATAGTAATATACTATAGTGGAGTGATTGGCCAGTATTAATCACATGGTGGCCTGTAATTAGATACACAGAGGTGAAAGCTGTTGCCTATCATGCAGCAGGGATGGACAGGTAATTGGTGGTTCCTCCATTACTTGGCTCAGTCAAGGATTTGGATGCCATACTTGAATGACACCCAGACATGTCTTGTCATCCAACTGCATTGGTCTGGTTGTTTGTTAGCAGTTGTAATTCCTGGATCTACCAGAATTTATACTGTATTAATTCATGAGAAGATCGATCAGCCTCTTTCTGTAAATCTGGATGCAATGAGATATCATTGGCCTGTCTGGTGCTTCACTCCATCACCTTTGCCAGGAATGCTTGACCCAGCATACCAATAACCCTTAATGAACTATCATTTACCCTAGAGCTTCCCTCCCTCACCACTGATCAGTCTCCCAACACACTGGAACTGCCTCCCAAACTATTAGCCACACCATGCAATCAAACATCCTAGAATATCCCTCCATCATCCTTGCCCTCTATTACCCATAACTCTCAGACGCTCATCATTGACCGTCCCTTTATGACTTCTGACCTTTCACCAATCACACTTGTAGACACTCACCTTCCCTGCATAGTTCAGCTTCCTGTCTCTGTTTCCCATAATCTTTCATATTGTTGGTACTACAGTTCTTCTCATGGTCAGCCATTGCCCCTATCCCTGTTCATAGTTGCCTCCTCTTCCCTAGTTCACAAAGCTCCCCATTCAAAAAAACCAGCTGCCAATCAGTCCAAATCCACTTGCTGCACACCACCTGTAACTAATCATAAACCCAAAAACACGCTTTCATCTTTTCCTGCACGCTTAATGCCAAACGTCTAGTTTACCCTGGTGAAGCTGGTTTTAATAAGTTTGCATGACATGGTAATGTATTAAAACTGAGTTCCTGCTGCTTGCTGCTGAGAAGCATAACCCACCTACAATCCACCAAAATATTACCAACTTTCATTCTACCGTCAAGAAGTTGACATTTTGACTCTTGCTCACTTAAATACCCTGCTTGCCTCATTTCTGCTCCTGGCAGCTTCACAAGATTCCACCCATCGATTTGTTTTGAGTTTTCATTTCTTCCTAACTCATTGCTCCTTACCGCTTTTATGAAGGTCTTTCCTTATGCCAAAATACAGCTTGACATCTGCCAATATGATGGAGTGCAATCCATGGTGGTATTGTCAGGTTACTCCATCATAGCCTGTTTCAAAGTCAGTCCTGATTTTGTCTTGTCCTGAGCTACACATAAATTTACTTACTAATGAGCAACATAAGAATGTAAACTCTTAACAGATTATTTCCCTTCTTAGTGCAGGACTGCTGTACTCAATCTCTGCATGCCAATGATTATTCCAGCTATTTCAAGATCAAACTGGGACTTTTCTGCACAGCTCAGCATCACACATTGTACAATGCAATAAGCAAGTAGACAATCCTGTATGTGCAATTTTTAAAATGTTTACTGAACTACTTAATGCAATAAATAGCTAGCAAGGACATTAAGCCTCGCTGTACATGACACCCTAAGGATCAGTCAGTCAAAGTACAATCTTGCAGTTCTCTCCACTTATAGTATCCACTGTTCTATTTTTACTATATGCAAAGCACAGAAACCACAAACCGATTCCACTTGAGTCTAGTCGCATATATCCTTCTGCTAATGCATTAAATCCAGTGAGTCCTCCCATGGAGGCATAGGGAACATCTGGTCCTACTGATCTTCCTCTCGCCAAACGTTCTCCTTTTGTCTCGACGATCATTGTATGAGCATATGTTGGGTGGGTACAGCCACAGGTAAAGGAACTGTGAAACCCAGAACATCCTGCACCTATAAGAAACAAATTATAGGTTATATATGCAATATCAAGTGTAAAAGTACAACAGAAGAGGATAAGAACTTTTAAAAATGTACAGTTACACAAATTTTGCATTAAGAATAGATAAATGCATTGAATTTTAACCCTTTATCCTGCCACACTGCAGTCCACATCGAGCAAAGGGACACACTAATGATCAAACAGAAACAAGAGTAGGAAGCAATCAAATTGTAGGTACAGTAATACACAGTTATTACACTTTTTTTAGGCATGTGAATTGCATTGCATCAAGTTTCTAATTTCAGCCCACCATCACGCAAGATATTGTTGGAGATTTCTTACAGGCGCAACAATACAAAATCAGTTGTTTACATTTTCTCCCTCAGTTACTCAATATCAGCAATGCAGACTTAACAACAGATCATTAGTCTGACCTAACAACATGCTGGTGAAGTAAAATTAATTAGAATACATAATTATTATAAATGGAAGATGTGGGTTATATAGTCAACTGAAACTGTTTTTTTTCAGCTCTGAGACATAGTTGAAAATGTATCGCTTGTTGATAAACTAATCATTTCCTATTCATACCAATTCTATGGACACACTAAAACTGACTTTGGGCAGTATTAATTCTGTGGCAACATCAGACAGAGACCATAAAGACAAGTGCTGAAAGTTCCTTGGAATTTCTTCTAATCCACAGTAGTTACTTTGCTGATAGTGTTATGGAACTCCAACTTAAGCAGTTAATGGAGTTTTTCACAAAGGAAGACACGAATAACATACCAGAAATAGTGAGAGGGAGGAACTGAATCAAACCTGTATTAGTAGAGATATAGTGCTGGCGAAATTGATGAGATTGAAGGCTGATAATCCCCAGGGCCTGATAGTCTACATCCCACACCACTTAAGAAATGGCCCTAGAAATAATGATTCGTTAGTGGTCTTCTTTCAAGACTTTTTAGACTCTGGAACAGTTCCTACAGATTGGAGGGTAGCTAATGTAATCCCACTATTTAAAAAGGGTGGTTGAGAGAGAACAAAGAATTACAGACCAGTGAATATGACATCAGTAGTGGGGAAGATGCTAGAGTCCACTATCAAGGATTTTATAGCAGAGCACTTAGAAAACAGTGGTAGAATCAGATATAACTCTTGCAGCTAAATGGATCAAGGGATATGCGGGAGGGCGGGGTTAGGGTATTGAGCTTGATGGTCAGCCATGATCATGTGAATGACACAGCAGCCTTCAATCGTCTACATTTCTACGTTAATCATTATTCCAGTCATACAAAAGAAATTTCTCCTTATCTCAGACCTAAAAGGTTTACCTTTTACTCTCAAAAAATGAACCCTGATTCTGGGCTCCCCCACCTTAATGAACATCCTTCTTGCACCTAACCTGTCTTACCCTGTTAGAATTTTATTGGCTTCTATACGATCTCCCTCATTCTTCTAAACTCCAGCGAATACAATCCTAACTGACTCAATCTCTCCTGATTCTTCAGTCCTGCCATTTTAGGAATCAATTTAGTAAACGTTTAGTAAGGGGTAAACCTTTTAGGTCTGAGATAAGGAGAAATTTCATCACCCAGAGAATGATGAGCCTATGGAGTTCACTATCACAAAAATGCTTGAGGCCAAAGCATTATGCGTTTTCAAGAAGGAGGTAGATATAGCTCTTTTGGCTAAATAGATCAAGGGATATGGGGGAGAGGGGGGTTACGGTATTGATTTCAATGACCAGCCATGTTCATGTGAATGACAGAGCAAGCTCCTATCTTCTACCTTCCTATGTCAATCATAATTCCAGTCATAGTACTGTGATAGAGCTGGAGCAACTGTGGGAAATTCCAGGTTCTTATCTTTATGACTGCTGGATGGGATTGCTGGGTACAATGAGTGGCTTACATCCTGATCCGTCAACACGTCTCCATGATCTGCAACTTTGGCTGGTATTTTACACAATAAATTTCATAGAACCCCTACAGTGTGGAAACAGGCCCTTCAGCCCAACAAGTCCACACCGACCCTCAGAACATCCCACCCAGACTCACCCCGTATAACCCACCTATTCTACACATTCCTGAACACTATTGGCAATTTAGCATGGCCAATCCACCAAGCCTGCACATTTTTAGATTGTGGGAGGAAACCAGAGAAAACCCATTCAGACACGGGGAGAATGTGCACACTCCACACAGACAGTCACTCGAAGGTGGAATCGAACCCGGGTCCCTGACGCTGTAAGGCAGCAATGCTAACCACTGAGTCACCGTGGCACAATGCCCAAATGTATAGTTAATCCAGGGGTTGAGACACCAATTAACTGGATTGTTTTTTCTTAATTGGTGTTGAATTTGAGTTTTATTGAAGTTCCACCAATTCAACTGATTAGTGGTTATTCTATCACATTTTGACTTAACAGCTGGGATTTTATAGTCTCCAAGGAGCATGCTTGAATCTATTAGAAAGAGATTGTAAAATTGAGTGGGATGGCATGGTAGTGATATGTCTGCCACCTTCACATCAATGCTGTCATTTTAGATGTATCATGGAAGGTGACAGGCAGTCTACACACTCTTAGGCTAATTGAGGTCCCTAGTGACATTATCGCTATGCCACTGTCTCCCACAAAGCAGCAGAGTCAGGGAAAGTGGGTATCTTGGGGTTCTGAGTGAATAGGGCAAACACTGAATCTCCTTCACCATTTAGTTTGAACAATTGAGAAGTAAACAATCCAAGGACTGAGAAGGAAGTGTAAATTAGAGTGGGTGAATTCAATATCAAATCAAGTGCAGAAGGAAAATAAAAGTGAGGGAAAGAACGATTAAATTAAAGAAGGGACTAAAAAGGAAAAAGTTTAAAAACTACACAATTAATTTATATCATTTAAAGCTTTGACAATTAATTCCTGAAGGAATGAGAGTCCATACTTGAGGGGTTTAATTTTTCAATGTCAGAGGCTGGTAGGCAATAAATAAATCTTATCATATCAAGGAAACAGCATTTACACTGGAACTTAACTTTCCACAACAAGTTTAACTCATAATCACCGAGTAAATATAGCATCTTAATTACAAATAAGACCATCTTTGACCATTTGTTGCAACTCTCTTAACCACAACCCTCATCAACTTCACAATCTTACATATTTGTCTCAGACAAAATCTAATCCCAATTCACTTATAACTGCAGTTTCAAAATCCCAACTATCTAGCCTCTTGCCCTTCATTCACCTTAACATTTCTGCAGCTAAAATTTGCTCAACTTTACTCTCACTTTATCTTTGATGCCAGAGTTCCCATTACTCTTTCTCTCAACCTGGCCATTATTCTCATCTCTGCTGCTTCAAGTCCAAGGGATGTAGAATGGAACAGACATGGCAGTGACTGGTTTAGCACTCACTACCAGACCTTCTTCAACCACATAAAGCATTATCAGGTCCTGCTCCCAAATGCTAGAACTGTTTAATATTCCAAGATCATCCTTAAATGCAGAGAAAGTCTCCAAGCATTTTTGTTTCTATAGCAAACTGACCCCTCTTCTCTGCCTTATTCAACCTTGCCTCCAACAATAAGTTTAAAGAATTCATGGACATCTTTACACTAAAAATGAGAACAATTCACTAGTTACTTCACTCCCTTTCCTTATCCACTGGATTAAAGTTTTGCTAAAACCTCCCACTATCCTATCCCAGAGATCCTAGCTTCTTCTATATCCTCTTTATCACTGCCCCATATCTTCCTAGAACTCAACTTCTTCATAAGGGTCACCTCTGCCCTCCTGATATTATTCACATAAAACGAATGACCATCCAACTTTACTTCCTGGTACTCAAGCTCATTGATATCATTCTCTTTCAACTCTAACACACAGCTTCTCAAAAAATAAAACCCTCAATCAACCATTCTTGCCAACTAGGTCCCAATCTCCAAAGTACCTTTTCTCTCCAAAGCCTTTTGTTGCTACTTCCCAAATCCAAATCTTTTCTAAAGATCCATGTAAGAATTCTTCCAATCAAGTTTTTGCCGTAGCTGCAGTACTGAAATGGCACTTTTCAATGTCACAAAAGTATATTATTCCTCTTTGCGGGTTTTGACATAGTTGATCATACCGCACTCTTCCAGCAGCTCTCTACCATCATCCAGCTGGGTGGGATTGCATTTGCCTCATTCCATTCATATCTATCCAACCATAACCCAGAGTAATACCTTCGATCATTTTACATTTATCTACAGTATATTTGCTTCTAATATTCCTCAAGGATCTATTCTTGACCCCCACTATTTCCCATCTTTGTACTGCCCCTCAGTGACATATTCAAAAAAAATTATCTCAAAGACAAGATTATAATTAAAGGGAAAATAAGAATTGAAGAAGTTAGAAGAAATGTCTTTAGTCAGATACAAAATTATTGTTAATATGGAACTATAATGCAAACACTCACATTTTTGGCATTTATATGGTACCATTTCATCATGATCATCTGCAAAATGTTTGCACCGGCAACGAATTGGCTGAGTTCCATTCAGTGGCACATAATTGTAGGAGATACACCGGCAACGTGTTACTCTGCAGGGGAGCAAGATTGGACGCTCTGTTGGAATTTCTTTGAAATCTGTTTTGTGCTGTTTATATCTGTTAGAACAAAATGTGGCAAATTTCACAAAAGTTGTTTATGTGCACATTTATAAGACAGATATATTCTACAAAGTTACATTACATGGTTTCAGAGTTACATGGTTTAAATATTTGTATTACACAGCTCAGTTCTACACTTGTTGCAACACACTTCCTGTGTTCACATGTCCAACTATCTACCAACACAACTAAAAAATCTTCAATCTGTACACATTTTCTGTCAATTCTACCATAAAAAATGCAGACATAGTAAGCTTTAGTAGAAACTGTTCGTAAAGTCTTGCCTTTCTCTACCTCAACCATCCTGAATGTGCAGTACTGGCTATTATGGGAGGCAGACATAAAATAATTAAAGCAACACAGGCATTATCCAGTAGAACTGTGGATATAACATCTTCTGGGAAACCTATTTCACTTAACAACACATAGTTTGGACTTCACTGTGCAACTTTGGTAGATCAAATATACAGAGTCAACATAAAACTCAAACCATAGGTTATGATCTCCAGTGGGTCACAGGAAGAGATTTTGGAATAGTGAACTCAGAGCTTGTACGGCAGCTGTGGAGCACCAACTTTGTTGAGGAAGTCCTGGGACCAGCACAATGATATGTGCACGCAATAGTTTTCTCCAACTTGGTGTTCACTTGGTTGGGGGTTGCAAACATGCAAATGCTCCCTCAGTAGAGGCTTTTTACTTTTGGTTTCATTTTAATAAGAGGGGATGTGAAAGAGACTGAACCTTCAGATGACACCACGCATGACAGGTTCACACCAATCAACAGAATCGTGATTGGAAGATAAATAAGTAGGGTGGGAGGTCATGTTGTAATTTAAGGGTTGAAATTAGATAATATTTTGATCCAGATAATATTTTCACAATTGATTTAAATTTATAAACACAGAACATATTTTTGTATGTGTAAAATCCAAAGCATGAACTTCAATAATTAAATAACTAAATGTTACTACCTTGCTATTATGTTCAATTTTGATGCTTTCCCTACTCTCACTCAACAATTGAAGACCACCACCTTTTTTCCTACCCCAACCCGCTGTTCAAAAATTCTGACTCTTTGATGTGGGATCACACTCGAAAAATATTTGAGAAACACCTCCTTATGACCTTGAGACATTCCAAAATGCTTAGCAGCCAATGTTTTAAAGTGTAGCCACTTACTTTAGGTAATGTAGTTGAGTCATTTCAGAGATACATAACACAAATAAGGTTAACATGCATGGATTAGAAAGGGCAAGAGGAGAGTAAGGCAATAAGGTATAGGAGCAGAAAAAGGCCATTTGGCCCATTGAGCCTGCTCCATCATTTGATCATGGCTGACATGTTACTTTCCCCATAACCCTTACTTCCTTACGAATCAAGAACCTATGTATCTCTGTCTTAAATACACTCAATGACTTGGCCACCACAGATTCACCATCCTCTGGCCTAAGAAATAACTCCATTGAGTACAGACCTAGAATCCTTAACTGCTTCTCATATAGCAAGCCCTTCATCCAAGGATCATTCTTGTAAACCTCCTTTGGACTATGTCCAATGCCAACACACCTTCCTTAGATATAGGGCCCAAAATTGCTCACAATATTCCAAATGCGGTCTTACCAGAGCATTATACAATCTCAGCAGTGCATCTCTGCTGTTGTATTCTAGTCCTCTTGAAATAAACGCTAACATTGCATTTGCCTTCCTACCTGCATGTTAACATTGTTCGTTGTTCTTAAAAGAATCCTGAGCAAGGACTCTAGGTAATTCTAGGTATACATACATACTGAAACATTTAAAAACATTTCAAGTTTCACATAATAGGCACTAAAATACAATTAGATGTATGGGTATAAATATTTAGAAGTGACAAATTTAGCACTGCCTATTTCTACCAAGACTGCATTTAAATGATTCTAATTAAAATCTAAATCTACATTAATGATCCATTCATTGTACTGATAGGAAATGGCATGCCTGGACCATTTGTTAGGGGGAGGTCATGTCTGACCAACTTGATTGAATTTTTTGAGGAGGTGACCAGCTGTGTAGATGAGGGCAATGCATCCGATTTAGTCTACTTGGTCTTCCACAAGGCTTTTGACAAGTTTGGCAAATTGGATCCAGAATTGGCTGAGTTTCAGGAAACAGGGCAATGGTCGAGGGGTGTTTTTGTGATTGGAGGCCTGTGTTCACTGGGGCTCCTCAGGGATCAGTCTTGGGGCCCTTACTATTTGTGTTATTATGCATGATTTAGACTTGAATGTAGGAGGTTGATCAATAAGTTCATGGATGACGCAAAAATTTGTGGGGTGGTAAATAGTGAGGAGGATAGCGTTAGACTACTGGAGGTGAAAGGTGGGTTGGTCAGATGGACAGATCCATGGCAAATGGAATTCAATCTGAATAAATGTGAGCTGATGCACTTGGGCAAGACAAACAAGGCAAGGTAGGGAAACACCAACGATCAGAAGGACCTTGGTGTGCATATCGACTGGTCCCTTAATGTAGCAGGACAGTAGATAAAGCGTTTAAAAAGGCATACAGCATTTTTGTCTTTATTGGACGAGGTTATGCTCATACTCTATAAAACATTGGTAAGGTCAGAGCTAAAGTATTGTGTGCAGTTCTGGAATCCACATTATAGGAGGGATGTGATTGCACTGGAGAAGGTGCAGAGGAGATTTACCAGGATGTTGCCTGAGCTGGAAAGTCTTAGTTATGCAGCAAGATTGGATAAACTGGAGTTGTAAAACAGTAGTGTGGGAGTCCTTACAAAACACAGGTTGCAACAGGTCAAGTAGTCTGCTCACAACCACTTTCTCAAGAGCAATTTGGATCTTGCAATACATAAATGCAGGCCTTTCCAGTCATACACACATGCCGTGAAAAGAAATTTAAAAATAGACAATGTTATAATAACATAGCTTACAGATAGACAAGAGGTCTTATTTGTCACAATGTATAACCTACTGTGAACTACCACCACAGTTCAACGAACAAATTCACAGTCATCAACAATTCAAACATTTACCAAGCAGCAAATTATGGTTCTAGTAATTCAGTAGCTAAGAAAGAATCATATACAATGCTACTTAGAATATTCAAATAGAAACTATTCTGCTTCCAATCCATCTACATTACCTTAATCTCAGTGTGTCTTTCTGTTCCCTTTTCTCTCCTATGTTATCTACCTTAGCCACATCCTGTTGTTCGTGAGTTCCACAATCTAAATACTCCTTCAGTAATAAAATTTCTCACTTTCCTATCACATCCACTGCTTTTTGTGATTTATACAAATCATTTGGATGTGACCATAGAAGGTATGGTTAGTAAGTTTGCAGATGATACCATAATTGGCGGTGTAGTGGACAGCTAAGAAGGTTACCTCAGAGTACAACAGGACCTTGATCAGATGGGATGATGGGCCAATGGGCCAAGGAGTGGCAGATGGAGTTTAATTTAGGTAAATGTGAGGTGCTACATTTTGGTAAGGCAAATCAGGGCAGGACTTGTACATTTAATGGTAAGGTCCTGGGAAGTGTTGCTGAACAAAGAGACCTTGTGTGCAGATTCATAGTTCCTTGAATGGGGAGTCGCAGGTAGATAGGATAGTGAAGAAGGCATTTGGTATGCTTGCCTTTATTCATCAGAGCATTGAGTACAGGAGTTGGGAGGTCATGTTGCCGCAGTACAAGACATTGGTTCGGCCACTTTTGGAACACTGCATGCAATTCTGGTCTCTCTGCAATCGGAAGGATATTGTGAAACTTGAAAGGGTTCAGAAAAGATTTACGAGGATATCGCCAGGATTGAAGGGTTTGAGCTACAGGGAGAGGTTGAATAGGCTGGGTCTATTTTCTGTGGAGCGTCAGCAACTGAGGAGTGATCTTATAGATGTTTATAAAATCATGAGGTGCATGGATAGGATGAATAGCCAAGGTCTTTTCCCCAGTGTAGGAGAGTCCAAAACCAGAGGGTACATATTTAAGGTGAGAGGGGAAAGATTTAAAAGGGACCTAAGGGGCAATTTTTTCATGCAGAGGGTGGTGCATGTATAGATTGAGTTGCCAGAGAAAGTGGTGGAGGCAGGTACAATTACAACATTAAAAAGGCATCTGGATGGGTATATGAATAAGGAGGGTTTGGAAGGATATGGGCCAAATGCTGGCAAATGGGACTAGATTAATTTAGGATATCTGGTCGGCATAGACAAGTTGGACTGAAGGGTCTGTGTCCATGCTGTACAGCTCAATGGCTCTACTTATTAGAAACTATGCTGTGGAGAAAGGTTGTATCATGGAACCTCCATATCTATGCTAATTCAGTCAAAATCTTTTAAAAATGTTATCAGATCAATTCTACACTTCTCCTGACTAACGAAGAAAAGCCCCAACCTTATTAAAACTTCCCAATCACTGCAACATTTAATTCTAGTAGCAATCTTGCAAATCATTTTTGTGATTTCTCCAATGCTTATATGTTCTTTCTGCATGGTAAACAGAATTGAGCACAGTGCAAATTGACTAAGGTCTTACACAAGTTTTACATCACTTTAGTACTTCTGAAATCTTAATCCCTTGAAATAAATCCCAGCTTGTGGTTAGCATTTTTCATTGCTTTGCAAGTCTGCAATGTGTTGCAAAATTGTGTAGTATACTCATGAATTGAAAGGCAGGAAGCTAGAATGTGTTTGTAAAAATAATAAGGGAGAAAATACAAGGTCCCTTTAAGAGATAGAGTGCTTTTCTAAGCTTGGGAGATTTAAACAGAAAATGTCTGCAAGCAGTTGCACAGAGAGTTCATGAACTGAAACATGTGTATCCAAGGGTTATACTGTTAGTAGGCAAACCAGAATTTATACCAAGACAACAAATTTTTGAATTTAGCCAACTAACTTAAACCAGGCCCTCGGTACAGAAAGCAAATTGAATTTAAATCCGATGGTGTTGACAACCTGGGACCAACCCTGGTGTAAGAAATTGACAGGTCATCAAGGGTATTA